TGAACCAACGTGCAGCACAACGATTCCACGGAAGAACACCCGTGAAGAAGCCTTTCAATGAGAACCAAAAGTAGTAAACAGACCATGCGACAATAATGTTGTAATAAATGGACACCGGCAACGCAAGCACCACTAATGTCCATCCAATGCCTTCAAATCGAAACTTCAAACGATAAGAAACTGATCATTGAAGTTGCAAGCAAGTGATACGAATAACGGTCATTTCTCACCGGATGCAATCGGCATCATCTTCCAGAACGCACCGCTCGCTGACAGTCCTGAGTACTGACCGATGCAAAGATGCATGAATACAATCGGAAGACCGAAGAGAACCAAACAAACGAAATATGGAATCAGAAAAACACCTGAATTTGCGATTGTTTTGTAAGTGAACCATCATATCGGAAAATGGTTTATACGATACTATTAGACAGTATCATTGATGAAATGCTATTACATTGATAAAATGAAGATAATAAAAATTGCCTAATCTACAACGAAAATGATCAAATTGTCTAGTTCACCGTTTCTAACGGTCAATCTGGATTTCCTAGCGATATTGATGAACATGAAATGCAGCGTTTCTGATTTCATAAAGAGAAATCGCCTATTTAAAGAGGGGAATATTTTTTAAAATATTTCGATATATTGATGGTAGAAATTTGCTGTCCTCATTTATCATGGCACGAAGTGCTCGTGTTAGCGATCAAAACAATAAAAACGCTCACGAAAGAAACGTTCAAATGAACTAACCTCCACCGTACTGATATGCTAATGAAGGAAATTTTATTGTATTGCCAACACCTACCGTGAAACCAACTATCGACAGAAAGAATTCAAACTGAAAATGATGAGTTTTAATTCGTAACTGTGTCTGGCATTTCAACATTTTCCGATTTCAGTGGAATGAATTTATAAACTTTTGCAGTATTTCTTCTGACTGTATTGAGTTCGTCAACAAAATGCTGACTGAATGAAATGGGATTATCTTGTTATTTATATGATTTTACTTTGGTATTCCGTTGGAGCAATAAGGTGCTCGTGCATAAACTGAACGCTAAAAATGCAATTTTTTGCAATTCTTTATGAATTCTCTCATTTGATCTCAATTACAAACGACACCCCATTCTTTTGCTGAATGAATTCAGTTCAAAATTTTCCAAGTGATAAAAAATTTGATGAGATATCATTCAATGACAGCAATGATCATTATCAACTTAATAATCAGAACCTCTCTCCGAATTAATCGACAAGAAATAATTTCAGGATAAAATAAGATGCAACGCTCACTTGTGTTTTCCATAAATCCCTCACATCGTTACCAGTCTTCGAATGCGTTTCTTTCTCTTTGTTCGTACAAAACAAATTCCATTTATTCGATTGTCTCTTCGTGTCGCGTTTCGTTTCGTCACCATTTTCGTTACTATTTTCAGATGCAAATAAATTCGAAATTTTCTCTCCGAATGATTTTTTGTGATTGTTCTCTTTTCGTTCATCTACGACACCATCGGCTTTCAGTTCAACGAGTTCAGTCTCTTCGACATCTGCGAACGTCGTGAAACGCATCGTTGTGGTCTATAAGAATGACAGTGGTGGATTATGACGATACTAATCTCGTCAACAGTAGTACTAATAATATCTACAGTAATAATAATAACAATAACAATAATGAAACAGCAATATGTTATGATGCTGTTAATAATACTTGTTGTTACCAGTGAATAAAAGTATACATCACTCATATTCCGATTAAATCACTAAATACATGTAATCCAATGGTAAAAAACATCAAAACTGGTATTGAAATAAGCCAAAAAAAAAGAGAATCAACCGTTTTCTCGGGCATCACTTTATTACGTAACGTATGTCTTAAGATACTTTCTTTCATTGGAAACGGAGTGAACTGAGGGCACGAAGACGCATCGGGTAACTTCGACTCTATCAAACGATCAGTTTCGTCAAGAATCGAGACTGCCTGAACGTGCAGTCGGGCTGCTTCTTCAGGGTTCGTGTTCACCAACTCGCGCAACTTAACCACAAGATCGTCCATCTCCTGAACAACTCCAAACCATTCACCATTTCTCACCTCCAACACAATTTAACTCCCATCGTGACTAATCTCAGTGTTTCTTGTTCATCTGCGTTCTTTCACACTGACACAATGGGATCAGATCAATTGAATATTAACAATTCAAAAATTTTTTCGAAATTTCCCACAGAGAAGAGAATATGAAGAATGCAAACAAGACTTGGTCCTCTTACATGGTACTTCTGTATAGAAACGAAGTAATGATATATTCATGTCAAGTATAATTTTTCATCAATTGATCAAATCTTAGAGAGAACAGGCGATATGAGAAACGGATTCATAATCGTTATATAGCTTTAATTCAGGTTTTTGAGTAATCATTTCGATTTGAAAGCATGTTTGATATGTTCAATGGTAACATGTTAGTGAATATTTTCACATGTGAGCATTTGATTATTCATATTTCGAGGATTCGTATGATACTTTTTGAAATCGAAATCAATATGAAAGAGAATTTGTTTGAAAACAACCATCGCATGAAGTGAAACAATAGCAATCAAATGGAATTTTGACTATCAGTCGATCGTTCGAAAATGCGATTGTGAGTGTTTGCAAATGGGAAATTGGAAAAATGACGGCAAAAAAAAATTTGGCAAAGGAAAACCTGAGTGCGATCCTGGACTTCAGCATATTTTTTATGGTCGCTATTGCGACGAGCGATCTCTTCGATTTGTTGCCGCAACGCGATTTGCCAGTCTCGTTGATGAGTGAAATTCATAGCGGTAACGATCTTACAGTAGTAACATTAATAGCCCGCAGACAGTACTCTATCAATAATATCGAGTAGTATCAATAAAATTAAGCAAAAATAGTATCAATGAACACGCAATCGAATCATCACCATCTTACGTCAGCACCGACACGCATACCACCACAACAAACCTGTTCTCGTGATTTTTT